ATGGAGACCCTTCAGGACAAGCCACAGCACATCGGTGGTGGTTGAGAGCCCCTCCTGGTGCAACAGGATGGCGGCAGGAGGTGGCTGGACACCGCTGGGAGAGAGCAAGGCCAGTGCCCATGTTGGCTGGCAAACCTGCCACAGATGTCTCCGCAAGGGAGGAGTGGGGACAGCGCTTACGGGGCTGCTCTTCCGCCGGTGGACATGGGGTGGGTTTTGCTTCACAAATCCTGGTTCCTTCTCTGCACTGGCCCCAGGCTTTCTGCTGTGGGTGCGCTCCCTGCACCTCGCTCGCCGGGTCAAAGCTTGCCTTGCGCCGTCCTTTCTAAGGGGCTTCCTGCGGTCAGGCCGGGTGTACAGGGAAACACGTTCCTTGTTTCTCCTCTTCTGCTAAGGTGTCCTCTGCACAGAGGGTGTCTCCAGAAGGAGGGGTGTAGCACTGAACCTTTTACAGCTTGCTGTTCCCGCTAAACATGGGAGACTCCGCTGTGCGTGGCATAGAAGAGGGATGATTACACCAGCCGGGGTGATGAGGTTTAAAATCCACAGGAGAGAGTTGTCCATCACGACTTCCCTGACACACTGGAGTTCAGCCCCAGGGCTTGCTCGGAGGGGAGAAGACCAGCATCTAAGCTTGTCTCATCTGTTGTCCATGGAAGAGGGGATCAGGGGGGTGGTGGGTGATGTTTGTTGAATCTCCTGGATGATGACCAGAGACCAAGACCTGTGTTGTTTCACAGCCACCTCCCCACCCGCCCAGTCCCCACCACAGCATCTGCTGCTGCTCTAAGTGCTGCGGTACGTTTTGATGATATCTTTGATGGCCCGTCTGCAGATAGGGCAGCAGGCGTTGGCCATCTTCTTGAGCTTCAGCCCACAGGAATAGCAGAGACACATGTGTCCACAGGAGTAAATGACCGTGTCTACCATGTTCTCGTAGCAGATGGTGCATTCATCTCCCCAGGGCCCTGAGACGGACGGGGAGATGGGTGATTCAGGCAAGCTGACAGGAGAACTGGGAGCTGTGCCTGAAACACAAAGAACAGGGTCACTCGTGCTGTTTAAAAGGATTCCTGACATCCCAGGGTAATTTCTGCCCTGAAGCCAGCTACAGAGAGAGTTTTTTTTGGAATGGATGCTCCAGGATCAGTGGTCCTTCCTGTGACCTGCCATCCCACTCGTGGAGCCCTGGTTCACATGCCAAGGCTCAGGGCAGCAGAAAGGCAACATCTCCTGGGATCTGCTGCCAACCAAGAGGCAGCTGTTCCCACACATCAGGGACAAAGAGCAATTTCACATTTTCAAACCACTGTCTAAACATTAACAAGGGAGGAAAAATCAGGAGGGGCAGATCAAGCCGTCTGCTTTGAAAAGGGAGAGGGCAGCTGGCACTTGGTGGCAGCAGCTCCCAAGACAAGCAATGCTTCATCTCTAGGGCCCATCCCAGCATGTGGGACCAGGCTACAAACCACCCTGTGGATCCTTCAGGCCAGGGGGTGGGATGGTACCCTCATGGACAGCATCTAGCTCGTAGTAGGTACATTGCTTCGAGAGCTACGAGGGTGTGGTGGGTTGCACTAATTATGCTTGGGGGACAGTTGAGGCCTCCCCAGTGGAGCCAGATGAGGTAGCAAGATAATGAGAAAAACGTCTAATTTTTTTCGCCAAAAAGCCCATTAAAAATCTGAATGTTTGCTGTCACCAGTTATTAGACTTGCCACTGATAGGTACCTTCAGCAAAAACCACTCTTGGTGTGGACAACAATGACAAGCACTTGGTAAGTTACTTATCCTACCATCAATGCCTTGGGATCATGCAGGTCCCGGGGGTTTTAGAAATGCTGCAGAACAGCCTATCATTTCCTACTGCGACCTGGATCTCCCTGGAATTCATCGGTGTATTAGAAATGCCAATACCGCCCTTTTCTGAGGAGGATGCTGTAGGTGTGAGGAGAGGGAAAGGGGGGCAGTCACATACCCCTAACTCCAGCCTCAGCTAGCGCGCAGCACGTCCCTGCCACGCAGCTCTGCAGAAAGAGCTGTGCATCACGGGGCCGCGCACGGCGGAGACTGCTGCCTCCCGCGGGGCCTTTCATGACGGAAAGGGTTGGAGAAATATTGCTGTCTGGGCAACCTAAGTGACTTCCACGTAAAAGAGACTGAAAATAGACTTTGCAGAGGCTCCCCCTTCCTCCCCGAGGGAGCTGACAGGAGGCTCTTGATTGCTCTGGTTTTGGAGTCCTTCTGGGAGACAAGCCTGAGGCGGGGAAGGGAAGCAGCGCTGGAGGGAGGAGAGGGGTGCAAAGGAGAGGCAGAGGTGGGATCCCACCACACTTACCACTGATAGAGCTGCAGAGGGGGCCAGAGCCACATGTAGACAATATGGGGTCGGAGACGCCGCTGCAGAGGACGGTGGGGGAGTTGGGTGTCGATGTGGGCGAGCTTGGTGTGGACAGCCCCAGCCGCTCAGCTAATATGGTAGAACCTGCCTCACGAGAAAAGAAACCCACAGTTACTTTTAAAACCGGGGGTGACAAGGCACTGGGGGTATGTGGCAAGGAATGCAGCTCTCAGCACTTGTCAGGATTTGTGTTTCATCAGCAAGAAATCTAGGGAAAAGATAAAGGGAAAAAAAACCCCACCCTCATACGCCTTTTTAAATGCTAGCAGCTGGCCCTGTAGAGACATCGGGCTCCCACAGCCCCTGAAATTTGCTGGAGCTCCTTTAGTAATCATAAACCCTTGTTTCTGTCCTTAAATGTGTCTCAAGTCATTAAGTACAGTTGCTTTCCTTATGGTTTCATGCTCATATGCACCCTCAGCACTACATCCAGCCCCGGGCTTGTAGCCAGCAGAGGACACAGCCTGCAGTGGGGTGGGCTGGACTCCAGCACAAGAACGTATCACCTTGTCAAAGCACTCTACGCTAACCCTGCGCAAAATGCACCGCCCCAGGCTCAGACAAATTCATGCAAAGTCACTCAAGGACTTCCCAGAGACAAACACGAGGGTTTGGCAGTCAGGAAAACTCAGCTCTGCCCACTGTTTGCCTCTTTCGTAGGGTGGCATGTCAGGTGAGGACAGAAACCTGGGCAGAAACCTGTTCAGGCCAGCCGGCAGACAAGTCACCAAATGCATTTGGCCCTGGGATGAACAAGGACACCTCTCCCTGCCCAAACAGGAAGGATCTGCCCTCTTCACGCACGTCTGGATGCGATGGCTCAGGAGTGCAGAGCCCCTTCAGGTCTCGGTGTCCCCAGCTCTGCTACCTCCTGCTCTCACTGTCCACCATCCCCTCTGTGTGAGCCTGCTCTGCCGGAGAAGTCAGCTCTGCCCCACAGTCTGCTTGGCACCCTCCCTTCGTCTCAGCCTCCTTCTGCTGTTATAATAACAAGGATCTTAAAACCCCTTCCAGCAGGGGGGGGAGGTGGGGGGGTGGGAAAAAAGGCAATACTTAAAACTCAAACTGCTGCCGTGGTTTTGTAGGGGAATTTCATTGTTAACGATGCAGCCCAATCCTTGGTAAGGCAGTGGTGAGACAGCGGCATCCATGTGCATGAACCAAAGTATGGTTTCTTGGTGGGAAGGACTAGTTTGCCTATGGTTTCTAGTTCCCCAGTTGAGAAGACAACCAGGGTATCTCCAATCAGAACTAAAATGCTACGGTTTCTTCATGTTACCATATAAGGAGCCGAGAGACACAGAGGGTTTGGATCCGCAGTGTCCTCCATGAGCCGGAGGCTACTCTCCAGAGAAAAAGTAGCAGCAGGAGGCCAGGAAAACCCCACGCGCCAGAAAGGTCCTTCAGTTCCTGCTTGCAGGGAAGCTACCGAGCCAAGGACAACCAAACCTGGGAAGCAGGGACTCCAAGTGCCCACGGTGGATTGTGCAAAAAAGGGCAAAAGCACAGCAGCAGCCAACACCAGATTTTCAGCAGAACAAGACTGAGCAGTTCAAGCGTAGCACAGGGACTGAGGGGGGTCATATTTGGGTCGAAATCTGTTACCAGGGCTGCGTACGGGAGAATAAGCAATTCGCTTCAGCCTGCAGTCCCTCGCATCCAGCCCTCTGGAAATGAGGAGCGCTTTGCTGGCAGGCAGGATCTGGAGTTGAATTAGCCTTGCTAACAGGCTGTGGGGGCTCTCACACTCGAGATGCTGTAGAGAGGCACCTCCTTTACCACACAGACGGGAGCTGAGGCTGGAGTTTAGCTCGGTAAATACGCAAAGAGAAGGATGCGGCCTGCAATGACAGCCACGAGCAGCAGCCCTTCCCCTCCAAGCTGACAGATGACCGTGGCAGAACACTTGCCCTGTGGGTAACACAGACTGCGAACAGGCCCAGCAGGGGTGCGGATTTCAGCTCATTCAGCGCACACGGAACAAATCCGAACACTGAGCGGCTGAACAAGTTTTTCAAGCCTTCCCTCTCCTCCCCGCAGCCTGGAGACGTCTCTTCCATTCGGCTGACACACAGCACATCGCGTTTCTAACGCCAACCTGGTTATTCCGTTAAATGCAAAATAAAGACTATTAAGAGCATTTTTTTCTGGGCTCATAGGAGAATTTGGAGATGCCTCAAGTGTCAGAGAGTATGAACTGATGAAGCACGCTGGCAGCAGTGCAAACAGCCTTTCCACAGTGCAAGGAGAGCTTGTCAGTGCGGAAACCACTATCTTCTCCGGCTGTGGCCCGTCTAAAAAATGGCTTTACCCAAGGTCCCATGGCCAGCACACACCTGCCCAATTCCTCCTCCTCACACAAAGCACAGCTCTTGACTTTCCTCCAGCGTAAGTGCAGAGCTTAAGACAATCTGAGTTCTCTACCAGACAAGACACGCTTCTCCCTTGGTGACAGAACAATCGACGTAAGGCATGTTACTCACGCTGTTACTACAGTGCTGGATGGTGTGCAGATACCACGACAAGGAGCAGGGAATGAGATCATGTGCAGGCTGGAATAAGCGTGGCCAGCTTGGCTTAACTAAAACCAGACACATGCGCTCAAGGCCAAACAGGCTCATTGTGTGCACAGAGCTCCCACCAAAAGCTAGCTTTCAAACCATGATTTTAAAACATTAAATAATTCTAAACCACACAATTTAAATCATGATTTAGAAACATTCTTCCTCTCTGTAAAGCCCACAGATAAATTTGTCTCTGCTGCTACCTTGTCTCATGCTAGATCTCAAGCACACTGGAATCACCTTTAAATTAGTTTTGAATCAATTCCATTTGCTGTTTTATCTTTGCAAAGTCCAACTATTAGCAAAATCCAATGCAGATTGACTCTTTCTCTGCACTTCTGTCATCACTCTGGGAGAGGTGCAAATAAGCAAACCTATCTGCCTCACAAAAGGAAAGAGAGTATTATACTTTCAGTAGAAGAGAATATTACCATGGAATGTACCGATAACATCATGCCAGAAAAGGCTGCTAGTGTGCTGGAGGTTTGCAATTCAAAATGCTCTTGCCAAACTGGAAATAGGATCAGGAATAAATGGGATGGTATTCAATACCATCAAACGCAAAATGCAGCACTTAAGCAGAGATAATCAGCTACCCAAATACAGGACAGGGAATTAGTCCATTCAATTACAAATACAGCTGTCCCACAGAAAAGGCCTAGGGACTGATGGAGGTCACCAGATGATCATAAATCAACAATGCCATCCGGTTATGAAAAGTTTGCACCAATCCAGGGTCATATGAGGCTGGTGGAAGGACTGGAGCAGGAGCCTGGAGGGACTGTGGTATCTCTGTCCCTGGAAATACTCAAAACTGGACTGGACATGGTCTTGTGCAAACTTGGAAGTTAGCCTTGCTTTGAGCGGGAGGTTGGATGAGATAAATCCCAGGGGTCCTTTCTGACCTAAAATGTATGATTCTATGATTTTATGATGGCAGCATTTTTCACAGGCTGCTAAAAGGCGAGAAGAAACAATCCATTCTTCCTGAAAATTCTAGATAAGACAAAAAATCATGGGTTTGGACTCCTAAGTTACTCAGGCTAAACATTATGTAGATAGTGAAGCACTGTAAAGCAATCAGACTTCCTAGAGAGATGGTGGCATCTCCATTGTTAGAGCTCTTTAAGAACAGGAAGATGAAGTAGGTGATCTCTTGGGAATCCATCCAGCACTGATTTTTATGAGAGTAGTTAACTGTATCCATAATTGTCCTTTTATAGAACATCCTGTGACCAAAATACAGCATCTGTGGCCCTCTGAGATGCTTTTGGTTCTCTGTGTCTATTGTGGTGAACAGGGTGGTTTCCCAGAATGCTGCAATCCATTCTCAGGGGATATCTCCCGAGGCTGTCCCAACTTTTAAGCATACATCCTTTGGCTCATCTCTCTTAATGGCAGCTGTCTGGGGAGAACTGTGCTACTGAAGGATTTACGTTGGTAAGAATGCCAGATACAATGTCAATGCTCCCTAAAAATACAGAAAATTTTCACTTAAAACTCCCCCTTAATGCATGTATAAAAATATTATTTCTACATTTCTTTCTCATAACAAAGTGATTAAGTTGACCTGCTTATCACTGCATAGGCCCCAGAGAGGGAATCGGAAAACAGCCACAACAGCAAAACCAGGTGGGAAGAGCAATGTGCTGCCTGTATTCTCCTGAGCCTGCTTAGGGGTATTCACTAACGCAAGTAAATCCCCGGGGCACCTCTGTGGCCTAGAGCAGGGAATAGCTGCCGTGAATCACTCTGCAGCTATTCCCAACCCACTCCTAGCAAGCAGTGTATATCCCAGACTCAAACTACAGCTGAGATGGAGAGACAAGTAATGCCAAAGAGCATCTTGCTTCCGTATTACTGTTGACTGTGGATCACTGAAGGTTAGGAAACTACGGGTTTAAGGTGCTCGTAACACCTTTCTTAATCTACTACCTATTCCTGAGAGAGGTGATAGAGGAGCAGGGCCATTCCTGGGACTCAAGTAATGACCACAGGCTGAACTCCATCGGATTATGAAAAACACCCACCAGCCAGTGGAAGGTACCCAGTCACTTCCTGGGATTTGATGAGGGCATTCCCCATACTCTTCCAGTGTGGGGAGGAGTGTTCATGTTCATAAGGAGAAAAAACTAAGACTCCACCCATTTTACTAACTCTCCAACTCTCTTACCCCTTTCCCCCTCAAAATTAAATTCAACATCCTACAGTCCCACTGCACTTTTTCAGATCTTAACCCAAAAAGCCTGCAAGCACAATGTCTCCATCAGAGCGCTGGGACTGTGCTTGTGGAAATCATGCAGAAACCAGGCTCCACAGGCTGAAAATGTCTGCTGCTTTGAAGTGTAAATGCAGACTTTGCTTTTAAGGAAGAAAAGCAACAAATGAACAATACCCAGTGCTTGCTGGCTGCAAACAGCAATGAATGTCACGACTTCTGCCCCCAGAATGGTTTCTGGCAATACCGGACACCATCTTATTCACCCCTTGCTATTTGTATCACCTGTCTAGGGTCTTCAC